CCAGCACTGCGATTCCACTGGAGATAATTCAATTGCTCTGAGAGCTGAATGGGCGCCTTGCACACCGGCTTCATGTTGCTCTGCCGCAGGTACACAGGCTTTGAATAGCAGACTGAAAGCACTTGTACACCCTGCATGTTTTTAAATCCTTCCTTTAAACCAGAGAAAGCCCTGTGCAGGGGGGAGCTGGAGGCTCTGTTGCTCCACTGCCCACCCCATGTCTTCTGCCTGCTCCTCCTGTTGGCTTCCAGCTCTCAGGCAGCCATCCCGTCTCCTTCCTCTTCTGGCCAAGAGCTTTCACAGTGGGACTGGGAAATGCTGAAGGTCTCAACTGGGCAGGCATCAGGCCACTCAGCCCCAGGAATTCAGGCCATCCCTGTGTTTCGTGCCACCTCCCTGCTTCTTGTGTCTCTGTGCTGTTGTCACCAGCTCCCTCTCCCCACCAACGATGAGCAGAGGAGCTGCGGGTGTTGTCGTCTCTCCCACCAGGTTCCTGCAGCCAGTGGTTCTCGGCAGCCCACTGCCTGGCTCAGACCCCGCAGGCAGCACAGGGGCTGGCTGGGGATTGTTATTAGTTGCCTTTCTGCTGGTCCCCCAAGGTGCAAGTAGAGCAGGTTTGAAATCTAGAGCTCAACATGGGTTTTGCCATACTTGTTGAGGAGCATATTTTTTCCAGGGATAGATGTTGGTTTGATTTTATTTCATATTTGCTCTGTGAGAATTTACATTTAGCAATGACACATTTTTTTCTGCTAAGCCTGACCTCAGGATAACTTCTTACCTCTTGATGGTGAGGCTTCTGCCAGGACGTTTTGTACCTGGGGAACATTTTAAAAGCAACCCTGCCCTAAGGTGCTCTGAAACCTGAAAGGAGGTTGCAGAGAGCTGGGGATGAGTCTTTAACGAAGTAACAAGCATAGGACGAGAGGGAATGGCCTCAAGTTGCACCAGGGAAGGTTTAGACTGGATATTAGGAAGCATTTCGTTACAGAAGGGGTTATTGGGTATTGGAATGGGCTGCCCAGGGAGGTGGTGGGGTCCCCATCCCTGGAGGGGTTGAAGAGTTGGGCTGACCCAGCGCTGAGGGATCTGGTGTAGTTGGGTCTGTCAGTGTGAGGTTAATGGTTGGACTGGATGATCTTCAAGGTCTTTTCCAACCTAGATGATTCTGTGATTCTGTGAAACGAGATTCTGGATTTGTGCTGGGTGAAGGCAGACTGGCTGAAAAATGGACGTTGCTGCTGCAGGACCTGCACATGTCGTGTGCCCGACTGCACAGCCATCACCCGTGCATGGCACCGGCATTCAGGCAAGTTGTTCAGCATCTCTCGGGACAGCCTGCATGGGACACAGGTATCCCTACAGCCAGATTTGCAATAGGATTCTCCCCACAGTGTGTGTGTGATGTGCTTGGCTCATTAGAAAGCCCGGCCCAGCTCCGGGTGCTTGCAGAGCCCCAGGCTGTGGTGTTGCCCTTCCCCAGGCTGTGCCAGCTGGCACATCCTTGCCATCCCAGTGCATTGGGCTTCTCCAGCGAGCAGGGCGGTCGGGCTCCTCGGGCACTCCTATCCAGGAGGAGGCATTTGCTCCATGGCTCATGCAAAGCAGTGCTGAAGCTGTGGTGTTGCTCACCCAGCGCTGCCCCTCCGTTGTTTCCTCCTCCTTTGCCTCTCGTCGAGCAGTAGTTTCACGCCAGCTTGCTCAAGCTCTGCCATCGGTGCGCCAGGCACGGAGGTGGGAAGCTGCCTGTTTTGGCTGGCTGCCACTCGTCATGTCATGCGTGGTGTGGTGGTTATTACCCGGGCTTTGCTCCTTGCATTAAGGACATTTTTTAGTGCAGACAGTTACAGTCATATTGACTAGGGCAGGTCTAGGGCTGTAAAAGAATTTCCTGTTGTCCTATTTCCGATTGTTAAAGTGGTAAGAAACAAGACAGAACAGTACAATAAAGAGCCCGTGAATGTGAATGACTGTCCTGGGTGCCGTAAAGGCTGGGTGAGTCAGACGTAGCTGCAAAGGGCAGCACCAAGAGCTTTGCCCTGCGGCTCCATGCCCGCCTCTGCTTTGGGGCAGCAGCTCCCCCTGTGCAGGAGGAGGATGCGAGGTGACAGCCCTGGGTCCAGCCCACTGGAGGAGCCCAGACCCCTCTGAGCTTGCTGTCTTTGGACTAGGGCAGAGGAGTGGCATGGTGTTCATGTGTATCAACAGGGCATGCTTGTGGCATGAAAACAGTATTTTATATCAGCTACAGTGTTAAGACAGTGATGGGTGGGTGGCTGAAGGTCCTGGGTCCTCATTCTGCCGTGGAGGAGCAGCTGCTGCTCAGGGCTCTGTGCTGCTCTCTGGGTTTGCTGCCAGGTCGGGGCTGTTCTGCGCAGCCTGGACACGTGTTGCCCCTCAGAACAGGATGGGTTCTGGCTGTGGGACATGGTCTCTGCAGACCAAAGCTGAGACGTGGTGGGGACAGGAGCAGGGAGGCAGAATGTCCTGTGGAGCTACCTGTTGTTTTCAGGGCTGTGAATGGATGGTAACTCCTGCCCCTCTGCCTGTCAGCACAGCATTTTTTGTACTTGTTACATTCCCTTCATAAAATAAAAGATTGACACAGTATAATTTAATGTAATGCTTTTCATCTCTTCTCTTGCCTGCATTTCAGCTGCTGCTGGTGCGACTTGCAGACAAGCATCTTGGTGTCCAAAGCCGATCATCTCCCCAGCAGATAGGCACCACGCCAGTGGTCTTTAATAAAACTGCTCTTAAAGCATGGGTCCCTTTCTAGGGTTTGAGGAATATCCACTTGCAGTGCAGTAATCAGTGAAGTCTTCAATCTGTTTTTAACTGTAAGATGTGCCAACTTGGAATAAATGGGTCAAGGCAAGAAAAACCTGCCTGTGTTCTGTCTGGAGTGCGGTTTGCCTTGGCTGTGGTAGTCCCATGGATTTGGGGCTGAGCTGTGATGCTGGGCAGGGAAGGTGAGGAGCAGCAGCTCCTCCTGTGCCCCCCTGTGCTGGACCAGCCAGCCCAGCATGTGCCCAGGTCTGGCATTTTACGTCTGTGGAGAGACTGAAGTGATGTGTGCTCCAGCAACGTGCCCAAGGTCACACAGCAAAATAAATCAGTGTCTCATCAGAGATGGGAACCCAAGATATTTCTGTAGCCCCTCCAGCCATCACCAAGTCCTCTGCTATCACAGCCAGACTACACAACTTTGTATGCCTGTAGCACCCTTTTGAAGTTAAGCTGTGGATAAATAGGCAGACAGCAACACTTTCTGGGCAATTTTCCTTTTTTTTTTTTTTTTTTATTTTGTTCAAGTACTTGAAAGTAACAGAATCAAAGTATAAGAGCATGGGCTTTTAGATCTCAGTGCAGTTTATTCTTCATGTAAGGCTCAGAGCATCCTTCTCTCAAACTGCTGTAAAGGTGGCTGCCGAAATCCAGACCTCCTACACAGCCACCCAGCGCCGCGCTCCACACCACCAGGTAGCTGTTGTGATGTAGAGAAAAAGCCAATGTTTTACCCATAGATTTTTCAATTAATTGGCTTCTTCGCCTTTAAAAAAAAAAATCCTTCTTGTGGTTTTTTTTTTGTTTTTTTTTTTTTGAGGTCTGCCTTTTACTCGTTTATTCTCTGTAAGTGTTAAGCTGCTCATATTTTGGTGCATTGTGTTATGTGCTGAGAATTTTTATCAGCCGCCCTAGTGCTCGAATGTGGTGGAAATACCAATGTGTCTGAGGAGCGGAGGTTATGCACACGGATGTACAAAGCATCAAAATGAACGGTTTGCAGATGGACGGGAAGCAAACCCAGGCTGAGTCTGCACCTTTGCAGGCTTCAATCCATCAAACTGGCACCGACCGAGCGCAGTCTTGTATAGGTAATGGCATTACTGCTTTAATGCTGCTTTGTGTGTATATAGGTTATGATAGGAAGGAGCTGTGTCTTTGCATAGGGTAAGGTTGTGCTTGTGAGGGCTAGCTGCAATTACAAGTTCTGATCAAATGAAGGAAAAGTCGTAAGCCGAGACTGAAAAGCAGCTGGGAGCCTGCAGCGTTCAGCGGGAGCCACGGTAGGATGCTCAGCAAAGGCTGGGGATGTTGAGACTCCCGGATTTGATTTCCAGCTTTGCACTTGGCTGAGCCTGGCTGCTTCCCTGGGCCCCCGTTTGTTCGTTTGCAATGCGGGGGGTGAGGCTGTGCAGTCCCTTCGGGTCTGCTGGCAGTGTGGGGATGCCAGCAAGCACTGGGCATGAGGATTTGCACCTGCCTGGGGGAGCTCAGATCTGGGCATGGAAGGTCCTTGGAAAGGGTTAAACCACCACTCCATATTTCAGCCCTGTAAAGTGGTGTCGGGACAGCCCCAAGTCGAGAGAAAGGATCTTTATTGCTCTCATATGAATAAAGCCCCAGCGCTGGGAATGACACATTTAATCTTCAGTGGAGTGGGCAGTTTTGGAGATTTATAAAGCCTCTGTTGTGTGGGAGGTCAGTGGGGATTAAGTGAAAAGTTAAAACACACGTATACATCTGAAAAAAAAGAAACCGCCCTCTTCCCTCCACTCCCTTCTCCCCTCTGCAAAAAGTCAAGCTTAAATGTCACGTCAAACCAAGCTTAAAACGTGGTGGCTTTTAGTAGTGGTTACTAAACCCAGAAACTGCTGACTGTGAGTGGCTCGACACCTGGGACAGACCCACTGTGGTGGATCCGCAGCCGTAGCTCCTTTCCCCAGGTTGCAGGCCTGGCGGTGGCAGATGACAAACAACCTGTTGGAAATTGAACCCCAGGCTTTAGAGCAGCCGAGAAATGGCAGTTAAAATGCCTCTTCCAAGCATTGCCTTAAAAACAATTGCTGTTTGGGGTAGGATAACCGCTGTTTGGGTGGGAGCGGTGGGCAGCACCTGGCTCGGTGGGGGCTCCCCCGCCCCGGGCGGGCTGGGGGGCAGCGGGCAACCCCAGTGGGGCTCCCCCCTTCAACAGCCCTTGTGTTTTCTCCTCGCAGATCAGAGCGAAGGATTTCATTGCAGGGAGGAGTGCCGCATCCTGGGCCACTCGGACAGGTGCTGGATGCCCCGCGGCGCCGTCCCCAGCCGCGCCAAGTCCCCCGAGCACGGGAGGAATGTCATCGCCCTCTCCATCGAGGCGACAGCGGTGGACACGGAGCCTTACGCAGACTGCAGCACAAAAAGGACCTTCGCCACCTTCGGCAAGGAGGGCGGCGAGCCCCTCGCCGACGAGCGGCTCGCCAACCCCAAAGGCAAAAGAACGGTGGACCCGGCCGCCTGCAGCCCCAAGGTGAGCGGCGCCGTCCGCGAGGCGGGCAACGGCTGCGAGGCCGTCAGCCCCGTCACCTCGCCCCTCCACCTGAAGAGCCCTTTGTCCGGCAAGCCGGCGGCACCGTACGGTGCCGGGCACTGCGCCGGCAACCGGGAACGGGAGCCCTTTGGGAACAGTGGCCTTTCCCGGCCGACGGAGGCAGAGCCCCGGGGGGCGGACAGCGAGAGCGGCGGGCAGGAGGGCAACCCGCTCCTGCAGGAACGCCGGGAAAAGGACTCGCCCGGCGCCCGGAGACTAAAAGACATCGTCCTCTGAGCAGCACCTGGCGAGAGGAGGAGGAGGAGGAGGATGAGGGACCGCACGACTCCCAGCGCAGATTGTTTTTATCGCTTACCAATGGTTCACAGATTGCTGTATTTAAAAGCTTTCCCTAAATGTATTGTTTATAAATGAAGCTATTGTTAATGTGACAATCCCACTTGTCTCAACAGGCAGCAGGGGTGTGCAGCCGGAGCGAAGTAGCGGGTGTTTTGCTTTTGCCAGGAGGCGGTGGGTGGCGGGGGGCAGAGGCGAGACCCCCCTGGTCCTCAGGAGCGCTCGGTATCCCCTCCTCGGAGTTTATATATTTTTATAGCTCAAAATGAAGATAAATTTCCATTCCTGGAGAGAATCGAACGGCAAATTCCTTATTCGGACATCTTCAGTAATCACCCCGGTGATTTTGTAGTCTAGACAAAATAGCGGCCATTTCTTGTGTGCGACTGTTCAAAACGACAGTCGGGTGAGTTTTAGTATTCGCCCAATGCAAGGTTGGTTGTACTTGAAGATGTTGCTGTTTTGCTATGGATACCCCTGCATTTATGAATCCTTTTGCTGTCACATGCTTATCTGTACCATTATTGTATTTGATATTGCAAATTACTGTATGTCTAGTGATGGCAAAAGGCTTTCAAGATTTTAAAAAAAAAAAAAAAAAATCACAATCATCTTACTTAAACTTTGGGGAACCTGCAGTTTTCAGACCCGGTGGAGCAAGCGCTTCTTCCAGCCCCCACCATCGCCTGCAGCCTCCCCTGGCTCTTGCAGGGCAGTGACAGGGCATTACAGGAAGACATTTTGGGGAAAATTCTGCCTGGATTGCAATTGTCAGATGCACTGTGCCGAACTTTTTCCCTTATTCTTTTCTTTTGCATAATTTCAAGGCAATGCATGGAAAGTTTTTCCAGAAGTTGGTTGGTTGTTTTTTTTTTCCAGTTCCCAGATTTAGATATCCCCCATCTCTAGTCATTTCCAAGTCAAAGTGATGGAGTTATTTAAGAGATCTAAATTACCTTCTCAATTAGACACACACTTCCAAGTCAGCATTTCCCAACCATGATTATGCCAAGTATGTGTGTGCTTGTATGTCATCATGGCATGGATTTTAGACTGTTCTGATTTCTCTCTATCCCTGCATCATAAGTAAGTATGGAATGAGCAATAGTGATGTTAATTTAGGGGCAGACAGGTGATATGTAACAACGCTACTAATTCAATTAATGTGCCTTCTTAATGGAGAAAAAAAGAAAGAAATTCATTATTTTTTCTCATAATTAAGGACTTTTTTGTGTGGGTACAAATTTACTCATATAAAATTGATTTTAAAATTGAGCTACTTTAATAGCCATTTTGTAGAAGGGAGAGAGGGAAGGGGTTTCACAGCTCTCTGCTCTCTTGCAGTGATAATTCCTCAGTGAGGTATGAGTAAGGTAGGAGGATTTCAGTTAGCATAGTAGTAGTATTATTATTATTAACCCTTCACCAGATTTTTCCTACCCTAAATAATGTTTCCTAGAATTTAAAATTGATTATGGAAGGGAAAATATATAGCTCTTGCCAATGTTTGCTGTACCAGCAAGTTGAAATTAGTGGTTTCTAGAGAAATAGTCTTTCTAGGTCTACATATCATGATAAAATATTTGTTACTTTGATTTATTTAAATTAAAAATGTCAACAAGAAAACAAGCTCCAGTCATTATTATCCTCAAAATAAAATTAAGCTCCAGCCAGGCTTCGGGGCAAATTGATCCTGCCCAAAGCTGTAGCCGGTCCAAGACAGGTCCACAGTCAGTCTGTTCCCCCTGTCACTTGCTAGGGCCAGGAATTGGGAAAGAACTGACAAAAAACGGTTGTCTAATGAAATTTGTGACACTTCCCTTGCTGGTGTTGATGACTACCTCATTCAGCTCCCATCCCATGCGTTAACGTGCTGTCCTGCATCCCTCTGGAAAGCGACCTGGGGATTTTCCCCTCTGTTCTGGAGTTTGAGCCCGTTTTTCAGGGATATGTTATTTCTGTTCCTGCAGTGTTTCCTGCCTGTGTACTGTTACTGCTGTCATTTATTTCTGTTTTTGTTTTGTTTTTTTTTTTTCCCAAATGCGTGTTTTATTATAACACAAGCAAAGAAGAAAGGGGCTGGCTTGGGGCTGCTGGAGTAACTGGATTTTCTGTAACTGTTAGGCTGGTTTCTTTCTGACGTTACCTGTTTTTGTCAGCTCTGGGTGTTTTTTTGTGGGGGAAGCTTCTCATATGTGTTTGCTGAGTGACAAGAGCCTGCGATGCGCCGTCTGTCAGATCCTCTTGGCTTTACAGGGACACAGCCCTACGTCACCCCATTGTCCAACCCCCACCTCCAGCAGGATGGGATACGGCTCCCCCAATTGCCCACCGCAGGGATGGGGAGCACGGGTTCCCCCGGTCCCTGGGTGACCCATCATCATCCCCAGCTGCCCGAAAAGCGCCAGCCGTTAATTTCTGCTGAGCGTTGCCCTCTGCCTGAGGAGCTGCCACCACCAGCCCAGCGTTTTGGATGAAAAATAGATGCTAACTGAAAAGGAAGAAAGAAAAAAAAAAAAGAAACATTTCTCTAATTTACCCAGAGGAAACATTCCTTGCCACTCTGAATAAAAGCACAGCCGAGGAGGAATGTGAAATAATTCTGTATTAAAAGGGGGCATTAAAGAGGTCACTAAACCCTTATGCCTCCAAGAAAATCGTTTAAACACCAGTTTTCTGGGCTGACCCGGGCTGCAGCCAGGGATGCTGAGTGAGGGGCCCTTCCCTGGCACGTCCTCGCTCTGCGGGGCCGAGGGGAGAGCCAGAGAGTGGCCCTGGCTCCGCCGCCTCATCCCTCTCCTGAATATTTCGCTACTCCTGTCACTGTCCCTCTGTGTCACTTGAGATGAGTTCAGGGCTCCTGGGCAAATCGCAGTCTCTCTTGGTTTTTGTCCTATTGCATTGAAACTGGCCATGCAAAAACGTTCAAGGCTGCAGGGAGAGCGGGTGGGTGTTGGGGGGGTTCCAGATGTAATTGTTGTGCTTTTTAATAACTTAAACCTGTCCTCAGATTTGGTTTAGGAAAAATAGCTGGGTTCTGTTCATTTCCTTCAGGCAAACTTGCTCTGCTCCCGTTTATCCCGTTTATCCAGGAGAGCAGCAACCACCTATGATTCTCCTACAAGCATGAGGAGGACCCCACCTGGAAAAGTCCCGAGTCTGAGGGGTAGGGGGTGAACCCACCTTGTGCTGGCCCAGGGACCCTTCCCTGTGCCCTGGGGAGCCCCTGGTCTTTCCCACCCTTGAGGCTGCAGGGCTGCACCGGGAGGGATGACAGAGGGCTGGGGGGGACGACTGACAGCTGGAGAAATACCCCCCGAGCACTGTCCTGCTGAGGTTGTTGCCGTTCCCTGTTCGTTGTGAAGCTGGAGGTGGCCTGTGGATCACACGTTGTGCAGAAGTGAATTCCTTTTTTTTTTTTTTTTTCCAAATAGGAAACAAGTTGCTTTTGTAAAGAACACACTGTCTGATGAATATGTTGAAACTATTCTTGGGGGGGGGGGAAAATCTAATTATGAATGGAAACACATTTGTCTGTCATTGGGGAAAATTGATGATCTTGTTGCTACAGCTGCTTTCGCAGCTATGGGTAATCTCTGATCCAACCTGTGAGTTGCGGTCCCCGTCGGGGAGGAGCCCAGCCAACCCCACTGCGAGCACTGCTGAGACGGATCCTTTATCGGCATCAGCTGATGTTCAGCTGACCTAAGCTGGGATATAATCTTCAAACACACCTAACGCAAACTGGTTTTCAGCAGCACGCGCCTCCTCGTAGCCTTGCAGGGCAGCAGGTACGAGCCGTGGGCCTCGCACCGGAACACCGGCACCTTCCCGTTGCGGGCAGAGCTGGTGGCGTTACCGTTGCTGCTCAGCGGCAGCGGGCAGGGCTGCCACGGGACTGAGCGCGGGATGGCTCGTCACGGTGTCTCCGTTGCCGAGTATATGAAGAATAAATTGTTGTATATGCTGATATGTATGTTATGTACATTTTCACAGTGATTGAATCATTGTAAACAACAAAACAGAAAAAGGAAAAAAAAAAAAAGAATCACCATTTTGTCTATTTTATGAAGATGATAAAGCAGCTTTATTAAATTATTATGATTCTGTTTCAAAATGGTGTACCTGCCACATTGGGGTTTTTTCATCTGATGAGAACTTTGTTTTCCACCTAAATGTGATTTTTTTCTTTTCTCTGCTTTGAGCATCTAATGCATTTTAGTATTAAAGCAATTATTGAATAAAATGGAAAGTAAGTGTTTGGTTAAATACGCCTAAGTGGGTTTGCTTTGATGGGCTCTAGGTGCTGGTCCTGCAGAAGCCAGTGCACGGCTGGGTGCCCGTGTGGTCCCCTGGGTGCCACTCCAGCCCTTTCCCTGTCTGCTTCTCCCACAGCTGATCTGCTTTGGCACCCGAGAGGCTGCAAACCTCAAGCAGAGCTTTCCTGGCCCCGAGGAGGGGTCATCACTGTCCCCACAGGTGACCTGCTGGGGCAGGCAGGCTCTGAGCCCCATTGCGGCTCTCCTTGCCCTCACCAAACCGGGCACGGTGCCGGTCCTTAGCACAGCCACCCCCTCACCTTCAGGGGAAACAGCTCCGAGAGGGCTAAGTGTGGGTAGGAAAAAACCTCCAACACACACTTCTCCTCCACTGAGACACAGTAGAAAAGAATTATTTTCCCTTGGTTCTCCGGTGGGCACTTTGGAGGCTGGGGGGAGATGGTGAGGAGCATCCGCTGCCTCTGAATTAACAGTCTGTTCATTGACTGCTCTTACACACGGAGTGTTTGAGCACTCTGTGGCTAGCAGGGGTAACTGCTCTCCCCTAATCAGCTCTGCTCATTCAGTGGCCCAGCCAGGGTGACACCAAGGTGGAAGTGGAACAAGAGCAGCAACATGGGAAGCCCCTTCCCTGTGCTGGGAAGACTCTTGAGCTGCACTCCCAAGCATCACCCCACATGGCTGGGGCACACAGGGAGCAGCTGGGGTTAGCCACACCTGCATGGGCCCCCACAGATGTAACCCCACCGTAAAGGCTCTAGCGATGCAGCTAGGTCTAGCAAGTGCCTGGGGTCAGCTCTGGCACAGGTGTGTGTTGTCAGGGGGACCCCAGGGCAATGATTTGCAGCCAGCCCGGTGCCAGGTTGCACCCTCGTTAGTGATTTGTTTGGCAGGTGGGTAAAAGGAGATAAAGCCAGGCTGGGGAGGGGAAGCTGGCATTTGGTTGAGGGCTGGCAATCTGTGTGGGGAGTGGGCTGCTGCAGACTGATGCCCAAGCCCAAAGAGGCAGTGGGCTGTTCCAGCATCCCTGAGCCATGCCTGCTGCCTGCACCAGGGACCCAGCCAGAGCTGTGCCGGCACCATGGGCTCATCTCCCAGGTAGGAACTGACCCTGTCTAGGGGGGACTGGCCCCAGTGAGCTGCCCTTGAAGAGCAGCAGTAGGAGGTGGAGGAAAGAAGACAGCAGCCATGGGGCTGCCCAGTCTGCACTGGGGCTCACTAGGGGACTGAGAGCAGGGAAATTCAGAGCCCCAACCACAGGGGCTGGGCACAGGCCGACCGCAGGCTGAGAGCCAAAACAGGGCTAAAAACTCCCGAGAGGGAGGACTCCCATTGCGGCATCCCAAATCAGCTCTCACCCAGAACCTGCTGGGACCCCAGGCGTGCTGGGCTCGCTCCTGATTTAATAAAACCCCTCCAGTGCCTGTCAGCTCACTGTGCTGGCTGTGGGCTCCTGCTCGCAGTGAGCTGGGGGCTCAGACATGTCAGGTTGGTGACACATCCCCACCGTGCTCCCTGGACAGCTGTCGCCATCCTCTGCCCCCGCTGGTGTACCCCAAAGAGCTGCAGCATCTCCTCTGCTGAGACAGCAGCAGCAGCGGCATTGAAGTTTGCGTAAATAACAGTGCCAGGAAGGGCTGAGCTGGGCGGCAGGAGGGAGCGTGATTGAGAGTCCACTGCAGATAAAAAAGGGATTCTTCTTTCAAGTGTGCCTGTCTGGAAATGCTGCTGGCCCGTAAGGGTGTGCTAAATCTTACTGCTTGGCAGGCTGCCTTGCACTGGGGGCTGGATCCTGAGCTGAAGCAAGTCCCAGCAAGGTCTCTGGCTGGGCTGGCTGTGGCCAGGCAGGTCCCTCGCCGGCCCTGCTGGGCTGCAGGCTTTGGTTTGTGCCATGCTTGACTGATAAAGAGGAGCAGACAGTGTGGAGAGCTGGGTGCTGTGGGTGGGCTGGGCTCCCCAGGATGCTGCTGCCCCTCAGGACTGCCCCAGACCTGAGGGGACCCAGTTCATGGTCCTCTGAGCTCCCCAGCTTTCCTAGGAGAGGTTCCCCGGGGCTGTGCCAGTGCCTGGCTGTCCCTGCTCTCCCATGGAAGAGAGCTTCTAGGGGTGCAGATCCCCTTGCCCTGCTGTGCCCCTGGCTGTGGGGAGGGGCTTTGCCACAAAGACCAGCGCAGTGAAGTCAGAGAGAGAATAAATTAGTAAAGAAAGAAGCCAGCCCTCACTGGCCAAGGTTCAGAGCTGGTTCATACACATGGATCTCATTTCTGTTTCTTCTGGACGTTATTTTATATTATATTTGATGTTAAACCGGAATATCTAAATAGAGCCAAATTGGATTAACAAGCAATGAATTATCATACACTTTGACTGTTAAGCCCACAAAGACAAGAACAAATAAATTGAAGGGATCAAAGGCCTGAAAGCACAGAACAAAAATATATATATAATGTATTTCTGTTTGAAGCAGGGCTCTGCAGACACACAATATTGCAGGCTGGGCAGGGCAGGGAATGGGAGAGCGAAGGTCCCTGTCCTTCATTTCTCCTGGATCCAGGCTCCGCTCCCATGGGGTGGTGCTGGTGGGGAAAGGTGTGGGACTGGCTGCCTGCTGCATAGCTGCCTGCAGTCACTCGCCTTGGGCAGAAACTAGAGTCCAACTTCACTGGCAGCCCCAATGGGCCTTCCACTTGTTTAACTTGCATCTGGTTTTTGTTCTGTGTTGTTGTCCTTTTCTTTTGAATGTGATGTAACCAAGTGTCCCCAAAGAGCCATCAGAGAACAAACACAGGCAGGTGTACAATTATAGAGCTCACCTCTGGTGCTGCCACAGCCCGGCATGGCTCCCTCCTCTGCTCCCAGCCCGGGAACAGGCTGCAGCAGGAAGGATGGCTCTTTGGGGACAAACTCTGGGCTTTAGGGTAGACATCATGCCGTTGGCAGGGGTGTCTGGGCAGCTTCTGTGGGGATGTGGTTGGTAGCCGCTGTGCTGCCCCGTGATCAGTCATTGCAACCCAGAGGTTTTTTTTTTTTTTAAAAAAAACCCAACCCAGCAAAGCGCCACAGTAGTACAGCTGTAGAAAACCCTGCTGTGGCACTTTCCATTAATACAGATAAAAAATTGAGACACAGGGCAAACAATATTAACCCCATCACTGATCAAGCTTAAAAGCTTTTCCCAAGAAAAATTGTCTCTGGATTGCAGTTAAATAACGGGCAGGGGGATGGCTGTCTGCAGAAGCCTCTGCCACGGGTCCTGTGCTGCTTGCAGGTGCTCCTGCCCAGGGCGAGTGAAGGTGGCTGCGATGGCCACAGAGGCTCAAAGACAAACGTGAGGCTGATCCCTTTGCAAAGCTTCAGGACAGAAGAAACTCCAAGTTGGCCTGATGTTTTAGGGGGAGATGGCGCAAGAGCAGAGCAGCAGCCTTGGCGGGGGCCAGTCTGTGCTGCCTGAGGGTGATGGATTGTCTTCCAAGGCCAAAATAAAAAGGAATTACGATAATAAAACCTCTGAGAGAGAAGATCGATGCATGGCTTTCCAGCTTCCTGGACAGGAGGAGTGGGGGTTGCTTGGTGGGAGCTCATGTCCCCAAATGTGGGCATAGCTGGAGCAGGGGTTCCCTGCACCCCTGGAGTGGCCTGGCTCCCCTGCTGTGGCAGAGCTGTTTTCCCTTTTCCAGTCCCAAATCCTTCCCCACCTTGCTGTCGTTCCCCAGCCCCTTTTGCAGGGGGCTCTCCTGCCCAGGCAGATGGAGGCTGTATCACCAGTGTATTTCGTCACCTCCCATCACTTGGGGCAGGCTTACCAGGTGTGACCCCCAGCACCCTGGAATCACTTGGCCACTCCGCAGTGCTAAGGCAGCTTCCTAGGGCAGGGGCCACCCGGGAATGGCTGGCCATGGGGTGGGGGCAGCAACATGGTGGGCTCTGGGGTTGGGGACGGCAGCAGCTCCATGCCAGCCCTGCTATCAGAAACCCTCTGCTGCTCTGCTCCAGCGGCGCCCATGAGGAGAGCAGACAGAGGCGGGGTTGTTTTGACTGGAAAAGGAAAAATGAACAAACAATTTCTTTCTTTTTTTTTTTTTTAACTTTCCTGATAAGGAAAGAACCTTTTTTTCTTAACTCCCCTCTCTGCCTCTCCTGCACACAGGCTCAAAGGCTGTTCTTTATCTATTTGATTCTCTGTAAAATTGATCTTATTCTCTTTGGAGAAGTTAGGTTTAAATCACAGGATGAAATCCTGGCCCCAGTGAATCAATATCAAATCTTCTATCAACCTCAGCCTGGGGTGGAGAATTTGGTGATGGGGCCTTGGTTCCCCAGTTCCCAATGGGAAATGTCACATGTTGATGGAGGAAGCTTTTGTCCTCGGCCAGCAAGCCGTTCCCAAGGTCTCTATTAAAGCACATCACTTCTGCTGTCCTGCTCCAGCCCCACCTGCCCATGCTTGTGATTGAGACAAGGGCTGAAGTCTCCTGCTTTAAATTTCAGTGGAAAGCCTCCAATCCGCCTGCCAATTCCTTCCCCGGCCCTCCTCTTGCTCCCTCGCTGCCTCTGTGGGGAAGGTGCTCATAGGTGTGAAGGTGTAGCACAGGGATGGCCGGCCTGGCTGGGGGAGGCAGGAGATGGGCTCAGCAAGGTGTGAGCTCTGGCTGCTTGCACCATCCCTGCTCCATTGCCTGTCCCAGTCTCCAAACCCCGTCATGGCTCTGTATCCCCCATGCCCAGCACCGACACCTACCACCAGTGCCATGCTTCCCTCACAGAAAAACATTTTTTTCCTTTTATTTT